TTCCAAGGCATGGCCCTCAAAGCTATAGAATTGCCTACTACTGAGCTACAAGGAGAATACATGGCCAATAGATACATTCTCTACCACACAATTCTAGGCACATGGAGATGAACTTCTGAATTAAGTTATTGATATCCCATACTTTACATTATTGAACCAAGCACTGATATTATCCTCCTTCATTTCATGGGATCAGATCTCCATGTTCCCAGAAACATATCTGTATGGATTGAGTTTCTATATGATATAAATGGGAAAGTTGTGCAGGCAATGGGTTGGGTCTTTTGTGCCCTTAAACAAGCAGTAATTGTGAGGTTTTGTAACTGGGCTACTTGATCCAGAATATCAGAACATAGCCTCCATTCAAGATCCATTGTTTGGACCTTGTTTGCTCACACCTTGCTTTCTCTAATGACTGTAGTAGGTGACACTCTCACAATATGGAGTGTTGGTTATTGTTAAGCATTGGCTGTGGATACATAAGGGACAAATGCAACAAAATGCCTCAATTAGTCTATACTTTAAAATGGTCAGAAATTCCACTGAATGTATAACTACCATGAGACAGATGCTGCTGCTGATATTTTATTTTATGAATAACACAGAATTCTATATCTAAGTCATCTAGAAATTGGCTAATTGGATATTTCTTCTGAACATTCCTTTGGATTGTTGATTGATTTGTCTGTAAAATTCTAATTACTGTATCCATATCTTAATTATTTGTCAACTAAATGTTTTTACCCTCTTGCATATCCACAGGTAAGAAGGGAACTGGTTTTTCTTTGTTCAATGAGCCATGAAGGAAGAGAGCTCAATAGCTCATCCTTCCCATGCCTTCTGAACAAAGGTTCTTTTCATGAAGAAAAAAGCTAAGAAAAACAAAACAAATGGAACTACATTAAAATCCAGAACATCCTGGATTTCCTCTGAATCAATAAGTTACACGCACCCTTCCTTTTTCAGAACAACGCTACTACAAAAAGAAGAAATTGAGCTTTTCCATGTTTAGTCTAATTTGGTTTCAATCAGAAAGAAACCAAATAATCGAAAATTAACTCATAATGGTTGAATTGGTCTTGCATATACATGCACAAAATATTCTCTTCTGTAATTTTGAAACAATAAACTTGACAGAAAAGCATCCTGAGAACTGTGATATTAACTAGCTAGCTCGAAACTTTTAGGGAGACAAAACATGGTAAAGCGGAGAGGTTGGGTTTCAGAAATTAGAGAATTGTTTCAACATTTACCAGCACTGTTTGAAGAAATGGAAATTAGTTCCTAAGTTACAGTTGGAAGAGCTATAGCAATTTAGTGCCAAAGAAATAATAATAATAATAAAGTATGATAATCACATTACTAGAAAGGCATGTAACTACATCTGGCTCCTTAGGTCCAAGAGAATAGCAACCAGCTTGGGATGACAACAAAGCATGAGGAATGATGCATAAGAACTCCTGAAACAATATTGGACCATACATTTGTGAAAAAGATGGCATAGACACTGCCAATGATCTCATCATCCATGTTGATATCAGTAAAAACTGCCCTGTTACCTACTGCCATTTACTGTGATAGGAGGAAGGGTGCTGAAGACCAAACAGCAGCTTCCTGAAGGTGCCAGTTGCCATCTACAGTATAAAGTCTGTGGGACATAGGCTCAGGTTATTTCTGGCTCCAATTGTTTCTGCTTGTCCCACAAACTGACAGGACAGACATTCTCTGGGTCCCATCTGATTAAGCAGTTAGCACCCCTTGTGGGATCCTGGATTACTATCTATAATTTCAGTGCAGAGGCCTTTATCCTGCGATGGCTTGGTTCAAGCTAATGATGATGATGATGATTCCATTAGAAGTTGGCACTTTATTTTGATGTCCTTGAAAATATTATCTTAAACCAAGTGCACAATAAATTTGCAACTAGGAACTAAAAATTGTGCTTCAGCCTGGGCTATGTATGTCAAAAAATGTTGCTTCTAGGAGAAAGTAAAGCCATTTCATACCTCTGGGACTTGCAGTGCTGAAATCACTAACATGTAATGGAGCAACAAATGCCTTGCTTGCTCCAATGCCCACAGCTGACCACATTGAGCCTAACTCAGAGACACTGCAGTAAAAAATAGAAATTTATTTCTTCTGGAGGAAAATTCTCAGAGGAAAGGAAACTTCTGCTAGCTAAAACCTGGAATAAATGAACATAATCATCAATCACTGCATGAAAGTTATAAAGTTGCATTAAAAAAAAATCTTGATGTTTTGTACCATCTTTGCATATAGATGTTTCTTGCTTCACTGAAATTTAAACAATGTTTGTTCTGTATCCAGGAAATTAAAGAACACATTCTATTTTTGGATATTTTAGCATTAAAAAAATAGAAATAGGCTTTTGTGTTTTGGATTGTTTTAGAATGTAGGGGCTCCACAATTCACGTAAAGTCTGGATGTGGTTGATTCCGAAATGCTAAAGGAATGTTAGAATGTTTCTTAGGGAATCAATATCTTAATATGCAATAATTGCAGCTGCAAATTAAACCTTCTTCATAAGACTCAGAAAGGACAGAAAGGGTCAACCTGCTAATGGTGGCCTCTTGACCTAGGGAGTCATGAAGAATTTGAGGCCAAGCAAAGTAGCTAGATGTCATTAAAATATTGTTGCAAAATGCAATCCTTTTTATGAAACCCAAAATGCTAGTATATCTGTCTAAATGAGAGTTTGGTCCAGGAAAGGATATTAAACCTAATCATTGTCTCAGCTGAAATCTGTGCTTTGTTAGCTGGCCAAGAGCTTTGCTTATCCATTTGTTTAACTGAGCGATTTGTTTCTCTTAGGGATGGTAATTAATGTTTTTGTTGTCTGCTGAAATCTTCCACTGGCTCATTTTCCAGTTATTCCAGCTTCCAACAGAGGAATCAGTGAAGGGTTAGATGCCCTGGAGGCTGAAAAGAGCTGAAAAACCATTCTTCCAAGAATTTCTGGGTCATTGTCTAATTGATACTAGCATTGGCATGCTTCATATTCCAGCGTGTTCCAGCTCCACAAGCAGTTCAGATTCTCAACTCAGCCATGTGTGACTACTGTAGGCAGTATATTGGAACCCACAATAACACTGTCATCTAAATCTAAAAATGGTTCAGTCCCAAGCATACAATTACAATGCGCAGAGAGACTTTTCTCTTCATCTGGGAACATCAGCATTGCATTCATTAGTGTTAAAAGAAACACTTCCCAAGCAAACAACTTGCTCTGTTCAGATAATTATTTTTTAATATCCATGGCATCAGATTGGCTTTTGAGATATGAGTGCTTTCTACAATGTAGAGAGACATACAAATCATTTCTTTGTTCTGTAACACAGAGAGGGTTCCTAGGTGTTGAGACAATCTGATAGGAAATTAAAATCATTGTGATGTTTAACTTTCTGCAAGTCTAAATGGGGAGAAAAAACTCACAATCATAGTCCAGCATGCGCATATCAAGAAGATGAACATGCAGGGGGGAAGAGAGGAGGAGAAGGGAAGGGAAAGTAGAGAAGAAAAGAAGAAGGTTGGGAAAGAAAGTTGGAAGGAGAAGAGGGAGAGGCTAGGTTTGAGGAGAAAGATTGCTGTACAATAAAAAAAGAAGAAGATGAAGTGGAAGAAAGGCAGCTCTGAATAAACAAATATAAATATATTAGGAAAAAGAATGAATTGTTAAAGAATAAAAGAGGATAAATATGTACAACTAGGAAAGTTAGAATTTAGGGATAAATGAAGAAGGTGTTTATATATGCAAGTATAGAAATACTGAGATATATTAAAAAAAAGGAAAGGGGGAAAGACAATATTGATAAAAATTGTAATTGAGTAAAATGTATTTGAATTTGACTAATTGTATAAGATAAGAAACTACCAACACTCTGTTCAAAAAAGAAAAGAAAAGAAAAGAAAGATGTGGGTTAAAGTGGGAGAGGAGAAAAGAAAAAAACCAATAAAATTGTTTTAAAAAAAAGAAGATGAAAAATGAATAGATCCAACAATTAACCAACATTTAATGTTAAAATCTATCTATCTATCTATCTATCTATCTATCTATCTATCATCTATCTATCTATCTATCTATCTATCTATCTATCTATCTATCTATCTATCTATCTATCTATAGTATGCCCCTTATTTAGCATATGCAAGTTGACTCAGATGTTCTGTTATGTAAACTGTGGTATTAGGTGCAGTTAAAATTATTCCTATGCATCAACTCTTTCATTAATTGTTGGTTGCAATTAATTAGATAGTAGGGATGCAGTGGCTCAGTGGCTAAGACATTGAGCTTGTCGATCGAAAGGTCGGCAGTTCAGCAGTTCAAATCCCTAGTGCCACATAATGGGGTGAGCTCCCGTTACTTGTCCCAGCTTCTGCCAACCTAGCAGTTCAAAAGCACGTAAAAAATGCAAGTAGAAAAATTGGGACCACCTTTGATGGGAAGGTAACAGTGTTCCATGCGCCTTTGGTGTTTAGTCATGCCAGCCACATGACCACGGAGACATCTTCAGACAGCACTGGCTCTTCGGCTTTGAAACAGAGAAGAGCACTGCCCCCTAGAATCAGGAATGACTAGCACATATGTGCGAGGGGAACCTTTATCTTTATTAATTAGATAGTTCTTGAAATTCTATGACTTTGATTAGTTTGTATTTGCATGAGCTGTTATTTTAAAAAGTAATGTATTTCACTAATTTAGCATTCAAGGTAAAAAAAAAAAGCATATTGTAGCATTTCCAAATGAATTTTAAAACAAACAATGATCAATGTACAATGGATTGAAATCAAACCATTTTTATTTGGGTACCATTTTTCATATTCACAAATTATTAAATAAAATCATATTCCAAGCTAAATTCATAATCTAGCCAAAGATGAAGACATTTAATGCACTTTGATTTTAGTAAAAGAAATTTAAATACATTTTAGCTGTGGTCTGTGGAATTGAAACACATTTCTAGATGGATTATGAGGTGTGCTTAATATAATGATAACAATTGAACTGAATTGAATAATTATATTGTCGTATTTTTATTTTTCCATGAATGAAACTTGAGCATTCTCTCAATTACTGAAAGCTCTCAGTGTTTTCATCATAATTCAGGAGAGTAGAAATTCCATTGTGTTCTGCCGTTGTGTTGATCTGTGTCAAGCAGCCCAGTTCAGTATCAGATTGCATTTTAATGTAATATAAAGTGATTCTCAGTTTCCAAAGTAAATTTCAACTCTCATCCCACAAATGCACATCCCGGGGATGACTTTCTCTATGTTTCAGGGGAAAACAAAAGAGACAGACAGACAGAGAGATGAATAAGCTGTTGGTTCGTATTAATAATACGATTGCTCATTTTTCTAATGGCATGTGTGGATATGTGTCAAGGTGTTCCTCTCCATAGAGAGGTACTAAAAATAGACAACAAAGAAAAAGAAATCCAAAATAGATTTTGGATAACCACCCACAAATGGAAGATACTTCATTATTTCAACTGCATTAAAGTATGTTTACCTAATGCAGTTATCTTCTCCTGTGGTTCTATGGGCAGGAGGGAATATTAAATCTGGGAAATGTAATATAAGATGTGGATGAGGCTTCATGATCTCTTCACCAAAAAAAGACATTGATATTTCCTTGACCATTTACTAGTGTTTAGCATTGTCCATATTTTCAGCTTAGTTTTCTGCAAAGATCAGGAGGAAGAGAAATCTGGGAGTGCAATTGTAGCAACTTCTGAATCAGAAGTGTCTTCCACCCCCCATTGTCCTGAGAATCACAGTGAGATGTCATGCCAGGCAACAGCTTCAGAGCTGCCCATGAAATAGCCACCTAGGGAGGAGCAAGCAAGGTGTTGGCTGAGAAACATATGTGATACCCTTTGTCTCTCAGTTTGAACTACATTATTACCTAAATATGAGTACAAATCTGGCTGAACTGTGGGTGTAGTTAACCTCTTGAGCTCTAGAGGGAAGAGTGAAGGAGAGTTTATTTCTGGGAAAATAATTCAGTTATTTGGTAGTACAGTGGTTTAATGCACCCTGTTATTAACACAGCTGCCTGCAATTACTGCAGGTTCGAATCTTACCAGGCTCAAGGTTGACTCAGCCTTCCATCCTTTCTAAGGTAGGTTAAATGAGGACCCAGTTTGTGGGGGCAATAAGCTGACTTTGTATAAATATACAAAAGTATGAAGGCTATTGCTTAACGCATTGTAAGCCGCCTTGAGTCTCTGGAGAAGGGCGGCATATAAATCAAATTAAAAAAACAAAGTTACACATTCCTAGGATGAGAAGCAAAACATCTTCAAGGAAAAACAAAGAAAGTCCATTTGGCTTTTGAAAACACCTTTGAGACAACCATGACCTGGATAACTGAGAATCTCCATAGACAGTGGTAGCTAAGGTTTCCTATCATCATAAATTAAATTCCCAGTGCAATTGTCTCTAATCCTCTTCAAATGTCTTATTTACTGCTCACTTGAACAGTTTCATGGTGGCTACATACATGGGCAGCTGCAGAGGACATAGAGAATGGCCTTGAAGGACAGTGGGAAGATCCATTACCAAGCAACAATCAGAGAAGCAGGACAAAGATCCAATATCTTAAGTAGGTCCCTCCCTAATTCACACAAAACTAAAGTGAGGCAGGAGAGATGCAGATTTGGACATGAAAGATTTTGCCGCTTCATCTGTTGTAATAAAAAATAGATTTAGACCTATACGGCATTGGTTTCTTAGTCTGATCTATAGGACTGACATCAGCTTCTTTCCCATAATAATACACAACACACTAATTGCTAAATCTGGGTTAGCAAATCACAATGTAACATGCCGCATACCAAAAACACAATGACCTTGTTCACACCATATGCTGAGCTAAAGGGTGAGTTCCCACAATATGCTGAACCACAAACTTACCTAACTGGATTTCAGCTCCCTCAAATGTGCTAAGTGAAGTCAGCCATCAAGTGTGAACTTCTGGAGAGAAGAGGCGTTAGTTCACACTATGCTCCAACTTACAAGTTCAAATTAGTAATGCAACAGTTCTGTGAATGGCTCCTGTCAAGGTGGTAATCATTAAACATCCTGATTTTATTTTTATTTGAGTTCATTGTTTATTCTTCTCCCAATACATAATCCCACCTTGATATTTGTATTTTCCCTCAAGATAGTACTCCATGCATCTCTAAGAATCGGACTAACTTCATTAGTCATAAGAGCCTCCTGAAAATAAACTCAGAACATGACATTTCATTTGGACCCTAACTAAAAACTCTTCATTTCTAAGGAGATTTCAGAGCCAAATTAAACACATATCTGTGAATATATACATAAAGGGGGGAGGGGGAGGGAAAGGAATGTCCCTTGCAGTAAATAATTGAAGATTGGGTGGGGGCTATTTTATACAGAATGACTATTTCAAAGTTGGTTTCAAAGTGTTGTTAGGAAAATGCACTATTGTTATAATTTATTATAAACATAAATATATTTATATTAGGAGATATATATATATATATATATATATATATATATATATATATATATATATATGTGTGTGTGTGTGTGTGTGTGTGTGTGTGTGTGTGTGTGTGTGTGTGTGTGTGTGTTTTATAAAGAATCAATTATCATATAAAAATAATGGTCAAGAAATTATTTCCTTTAAGAAAGAAGTTACCAGAAAAAATTATTTCTTATTTTTAAAAAGAGGGCTTAGTAGCTCAAACTATTTCCTGTTTATTTCTGTTTGGGTGTTAGTCCAAATGAAAATCTAGTATATCAATTCTTCAGATGTTCTACTTACTTGTGCTGCAATAGCCCATAAATAGAAGTCCTGCATATATGCCATTGTCAAAAAGCCAAATAGCAAACAACATAAAAGGCTGCCCTTCTATTTTGAAAAGAGCTACATTGAAACAATGGATGCAAAGTGAAGGCAGCCCAAGAGACTATTCTCTCTCTTTCAAGAAAGTTCAAAAAAAAAAAAAAACCTCTATCATCAAGGATGGGGCAGGCAGGAAAAACAGCCTGGTCTCTTCCCTTTACAATGCATTCACTGTACAGAGCATTGATGGGGGAATTTATGTGCTAGTGGAAAAAATGAGGATGAGATGGGTATGTTCATGTAACTGGGAGCATGGAGGGAGGGGAAACCTTCTGTCTGAGTTGTAAGATCCTGGCATACATGTAGATTTCTGCCTCATAAAAATCAAGTTAAATGGCTTACCAGTATGTTGCACATATAGTAAAGATGCAAGATATACATTTATTGAAAAGAACATTCTAAACCCAGTTTGCATGCTGAGGGAACATCTGGCATTTTATTGTCTGCTTTGTTTATCAACTGCTTATTTTGGTCAATCTTGAGTAAAGAATTTGGAGTTAAGACAGGATGAAAACGACACAAAAATGCAGACTTTGGCTTTTGTATGCATTAAGCACCACAACATTAATACCTATTCCCATCTTCATTTGCTAAGACAGATGGACGTATCTCCAGGATTTTTTTGGTGCAGAGGCCAGGATTTGATACTGCTGTTCTCAGTGTTTATCTCAACAATGACACAATGATGATTCCCTTGGAAACCTGGCAATTGTGGTGTGTCATTTAAGATGTATATGGGAATCTATATGGATAAGATATTGATAAATTGTCTAAAATACCCTTGATATTGTATCTCTCATAAGACTACAGGCTTATCATCATTTTAGCCATTGTCTATCCACTGCAGGATGAAGGCCTCTTCTGCATGTTTCCAACCATTAAGGTCCTGAGCATTCTTTTGCCAATTGGACCTGCAATACCTGCTGATGTCGTCGATCCATCTTGTTTTAGGTCTCTTTCATGGACGCTTTTTATCAAGTGGGATCCATTCTATGCATACTCCTAAATTCACCAGGTTGCCTTATGCCATCTATGTGTGTGTGTGTGTGTGTTTGCTTTTAATCTTTTATTTTACTTCATTCAGTAATAAAACCTTCCAGAATTAGCACATTTCTCTCTACTTACCAAAATAATACTATTTTTATTGACTGACTAGCTAAAATGTTGCACGAACTGGTTCACCAAAATTATGTGTACTTAATTGGCTTTGAATCCTTTGCGCTGAGCATAGAAAAGTATCTCAATGCAAAGACCAGTAAGGGAAGATTGTAAGACTGCTTATGACAAGATAAGCCTTTCACCACCTGATGCTGTCTTGCAAGACAGCTACATCTCCACAATCCCCATCTTCACAATCCCCATCTCAGACACACCAACAACAGCTAAGCCTCCTACAACTTGTGTGTCCAATCACACTTGGCCAATAAAGAATTCTATTCTATTCTATTCTATTCTATTCTATTCTATTCTATTCTATTCTATTCTATTCTATTCTATTCTATTCTACATAGTTCTCAGCAACCTACCCTATTTTCCCCAAAATAAGACATCCCCTGTTAATAAGCCCAATCGGGCTTTGGAGTGCATGGCAATAAGGCCAAGCGCTTATTTCAGGGTTCAAAAAAATATAAGACAGGATCTTATTTTCGGGGAAACACAGTACTATTCTGGAAGGTAAAGTTCAATTTACTTGTAGGGCACCAAGATGGGGAAGACTGACCAAGATTATATTTAGTCCATTTTGCTGATGGAAAAGTATTTAGGAAAAGTAGATTGAGAATACAGTATACTCAATACTGAAGAATATATGAGAATAAGTATATGTGAGAACATAAAGCAATCAGTTTTTATTAGGGTGTTACTTGATAGCTCTGAATGTAGAGATCCTTAGGCAAAAACTTCAAACCAGCCAGAAATCAGCAGGCTGCCTTATGCCATCTATTAGTCATTCCACTTCAGCTCTGTGTTTGCAATTTGGGCATTATAGTTGAAATCTACCTTGCAGGCCTGACATAACAATTAAAAACAATACTTTGAAAAGCCTCTAACGCATATATATTCATGTCTTCTGTCATGCTCCTGCTCAAATAGGTGTTGTTTGTTCTTGAGGTATTAAAAAATGAATGTCAGTCTATTTGATTACTGACTGGTGAAATGAATGTACATATATATCACACAGACAATGGTCAGATTCAAGACATCTTCAGCCTTCCAATGACACTAATTTATGGAATCAAAATTAGTACTTTGAAAATACATTTGAAAATACATTTAAATTACTACACTTCAAGGAAGTTTCCCTAAGAAACCAAGACACCGGTGAGGGGAACTAGCAAGTTATGAATGGGCATTGTTCCAAATTTAATATGCATTAAATCTCATTTCTTGCAAGCAGCACAACCACAATTATAATTATTAGACAAATTGTGATCACACTTTACCACACTTTATATTACAGAGCATTTGTATCTCTTGTTATGAATTGGCTCAAACCACACTATGACTCAAATGATATGAAAAATGGTCATAACTGTGAATGGGGCTCCAGCAATGTTCTAATATCTATTTGTTTGAATAATTTGTCTTTGGTAGCTGATAGTAGTTTTTCATTTTTCTTCTTTCTTATCCTATGAGGCTTATCTCTTTGTGTATGTGTTGGTTTGGGTCACCTTTCTCCCAACTTTAGCTAGTATTCTTGTCTTTATTTGAAGCACCAAATGTGAATGATAGGCAAGGGAACCTGTAACAAATCTGAAAGTTGTGAAGATAAATTGGCACTAATTTTATGATGTGATTAATACAAGTTGACTCAACATCCTGAAGAAACCAACACTGCTACCTTGGGAAATACATTTCTGCACCAATTATTCTGAGGTGTTATATCTGATTAATTATGCTCTCGCTCCATTAGATAATTGATAGACAATTTTGCATTTGTCTCCCTCATTGAGTTCTCCTTTATTTTGATAAAAGAACATATAACATAGAGTAATCTGGTTGGATGGGACTTTGGAGTCCAACTCCCTGACCATGGCAGGACAACCTATATCATTTCTGTACCATTCTGGGCTTTCTTTGGCTTGATGGGATCAAAAAGATCCCCCCCCTTTTTTTTTTTTTTTTTTTTTTTGATGGGATAAAAAAGGATATTGTTTAGAATTTGTTAGAAAAGAAAAGAGAATTTCACTGAATTTCACTGGGCAGGATGGGATGGTTCTTGAATTTATTTAATTACAAGGAGGTCAGATGTATTTCAGTGCCAAATTACCTTTCTAGTTTTCCCACTTCGGTTAATTCCTAAGGAAAGAAAATTATGGGAAATCTTCTAATAACAAGATGTCAATGAAGATTTTCAGTCATCCAGGTAGAGTTGCCTGGACTGAACTTCTTAGTCTGAGCTTTTTCAGTCTAACCAAGCTGATTAAGGGGGATCCCATATATGTCTTCCAGGGAGGTTTCTAATTTGGATAGGCTCATTTTGTGAGTAGGAAGAGAATCATTGGAACGTAAATGTTCACACTGAACAAGCTACTTGGATAATCAGTGAACCAATAAGAAAAGAGGTCCAGTTGCCAGGACTCAACTTCCAGAGTCCTACACCAAGAAAAACATGCCATACCAGCTCTAACAAGTAACCTATCTCAAACACAAGCAAAAGAAATTCAGAAGAAATTCTCAAGCAGTCTGATAATACCCAGTTTTGCTTCAAGAAAATATGGTTTAACCTGGCATGAGGCTGCCCTCGGAAAAGGATTTTAGTCCCAGTTTATCAGATTGAGAAAAATCGATACAGAGTTAGATGGACAAATTGTGTATCTCAGTGAAAGAAGGACATTGCAAAAGGAAATTGGTATAAGGAGAAATGAAAGAAGAAGATATAAATATATATAGCTCAAAATTTTGCATCCTTGAAGTTACTTCAGCTGGGATGAGGGAAAAGAAAACACTTAAATTAGCTTAAACATTGTTCATTCCATGATCATACATACCTGGCAAATTATCACAAGCTAATACAACCTTGGGAGGGAGGGGTCACATGTTTTTATTTATTCAAATTATTCCCTTGGAACGCTCAATGGGTTACAAAATTTCCCAA